GCCCCTTTGCATGTGGGTAAAACTGTGAATGATGAGATCTCACTGCAGTGATTATGTTCAGGATGAGTTATCAATGGGTTGATTACAAGGCAAAAGGGAGATTATCTGGTGGGCATAACCTAATCTAATCACATGATGCCTTTTACTTATTTTTAATCAGGAATTTTAATTTTATTCATATTATTTTTAATTGATGAGAGAGAGAGAGAGAGAGAGAGAGAGAGAGAGAGAGAGAGAGAGAGGGAGGGAGGGAGGGAGAGAGAGAGTGGGAGGGAGGGAGGAGGAGGAAGAGGGAGAGGGAGAAACATCTATGTAAGCGAGAAACATTGATTGGGTGCCTCCCGCATGCACCCTGACCAGAGATCAAACCTGCAACCTGAGTATGTGCTCTGCCCAGGAACTTGCCACCTTTTGGTTTATGGGATGATAGTCCAACCAGCTGAGCAACATCAGCCAAGACTAGTTTTATTTTTTACTTCTAGTTTACATTCAATATTATTTTGATTAGTTTCAGCTTAGTAGTTAGACAATCATACCACTTTACAAAATGATCCCCCAATATTTCCCATACCCACCTGGCACCTACATAGTTATTACATTGTATAATAACTAGACTATATTCTCTATGCAGTACTCTATATTTCCCATGGCTATTTAATAACTCGCAATTTGTACTTCTTAATCTTTTCACCTTTTTCACTTAGGTCCCCAATCCCCCAAATCTCTGGCAACCATCAGTCTGTTTTCTGTATCTATAAGTCTGTTTCAATTTTGTTTGTTCATTTGTTTTGTTATTTAGTTTCCACATATAAGTGAAATAATATGGTATTTGTCTTTCTCTGACTGACTTATTTCACTTAGCATAACACCCTCTGGGTACATCCATATTGTCACAAATGGACAAGTAATATTCATTGTATATATGTACCACCCCTTTTTTATCCACTAGCCTGTTTATGGGTAATTGGATTGTTTTCATATCTTGCCTATTGTAAATAATGCTGCAGTGAACATGGGGTGCCTATATTCTTTCAAATTAACATTTTGGGTTTTTTCAAATATGTATATGCTGGATCATAGGCAGTTCCATTATTAATTTTTTTAGGAAACTCCATACTGTTTTGCATAGTGGCTACACCAACCTGCTTTCCCACCAACAGTGCACAAGGGTTCCCTTTTCTCCACATCAATGAGGTCTTTTAAATAAAGGGTAGCAGAATGGGAAGTCAGAGAGATTCAAAACACTAGAAGGATTCGATGTGGCATGCTGACTGGAAAATGGAGGGTGCCACATGACAATGCGTATGTGCAGCTTCTGGAAACTGGGAGAGCAGATCTCAGCTGACAGCCAGCGAAAAAACAAGGACTTCATTCCTACAAGGAACTGAGTTCTGCGAACAACCTGAATGACTTTGGAAACAGATTTTCCCTTTGATTCTTCTTCAGAGCCTCCAGATGAGAGTCGAAACTACCTTATTTCAGTTTTATTTCAGTGAGACCTTAAGCAGAGAACCTTTCCTAGATGCCTGATCTACAGAACTGTGAAATAATAAATGGATGCAGGTTTTTTAAATTACACATAACATAGCATTTACTATTTAAACATGTTTAAGTATTCTGCTTAGTAGCATTAAGTACATTCACATTGTGTATGACCATCCATCCCCAGAACTTTTTCATCTTCCCAAATTGAGCTTCTGTTCCCATGAAACAAGAACTCCCCCCTGACTCCCTGCCCTCAACTACTGAAAACCACCATTCTACCTTCTGTCTCCACAAATCTGACTACTCTAAGTACCTCATATAAGTAGAATCATATAGTATCTGTCTTTTAATGATGCGCTTATTTCACTCAGCATAATGGCCTTAAGGTACATCCATGTGTCAGAATTTTCTTCCTTTTTGAGATTAAATAACATCCTATATACTACATTTTATCTATTCATTCATTAAATGGACAGTGAGTGCTTCCACCTTTAGGTTATTGTGAGTAATGCTTCTATGAACATGGGTGTGGAAAGACCTGTTTGAGTCTACTTTCAATTCTTTTGGATATATACAGAATGGGACAAAGTAGGTTTACAGTTGTTCATATGGAAAATAATAAATATTTTAAAAATAATAATAATACAAGAATAAACTACCCTGGCTGGTATTGTTCAGTGTTTTTCACACTGGCCCTCGCACCAATGGGTCTCAGGTTCAATTCCCCATCAAGGGCAAAAACCTGGGTTGCAAGTTTGTTCTTCGCCCTGGTGAGGTACATGTGAGAGGCAACCAATCAATGTGTCTCTCTCACATCAATGTCTCTATCTCTGTCTCGGTCTCTGCCTCTGTCTCTCCCTCCCTTCCACTCCCTGTAAAAATCAATGGAAAAAATGTCCTTATTAAGGGTTAACAACAACAAGAAAACAATGAATTATGTTCCTCGTATTCACAACTGTAAACCTACTTTTGCCCCACCCTGTATATATAAATGAGTGTTGTTTTAACTCAATTCATTATCTTGAAAATTGGGTCAGTAAAATGAAAGAATTAAGCTTTTATCCTATCTTGAAATATTAAAATAAAATTTTGTAACTCCCAAATAAGTTAATGAATCTAGGTGCTGAACATCAATAGCTGCTAATATTAACAAAGAGCAAAGACCAGACATTATTTGCCTCCTGATAAAAGAGTACACCACCACCTAAAGCCTTGCCAAATGGATCAAATCTGGGTCCCATCCAGTCTCTGGGTCCCGCTGCCAATTTACAAGAAAAGCAGAGACAAAGGAACATGCTGAATTGCAATCAGTAAAATCTAAACTATGAAAAACTCCTACAGGTCAAAGGGTCTGGATTCTTCAATAGATAAATTAGAAACAAAAGATATCTAGGTGTTTTTTTTGTTTTTTTTTTTCAATGAGCAAGATAAAAATAAAGAATTTAGGAATTCAAATCCAAGGCATAACTCTAGAATAGAATAGTGGTGACTTTAGGAGATAGGGAGGGTGCTATAATTTGAATGGGGCACAGCGAGGGGGTTCCAGGGTAACTGGCAATATTCTATTTCTTTTCCTAGGTGGTAGGCACAGGGGTTAATAATTAATTAAGCTCTATTTAAAAGAAAAAATACTGCATTATACTGAAAAAATACTGTAACAATGAGAGAGTGGCCCAAGTCCAGATTTAATTCAACTGAAGAGCTGTCTCAATACAGCTTTGCTGAAGTCTCACTATTGAGTGTATCTCAAGACAAGAAAGCATTTAATTCCAGACTAAGTGGTGACTGAGGTCAATAGCAAGTGCTTAGAAAAGCAATTAAATCAAGAAGACAGAAGGAAAACCAAAGAAATAAAACTGTAAACATTTTCTAAAAATCTTTACACTCCCACATATATACCATCATCTGCTCAAAATAAGCCTCATTCCCATCCTGCAACTTCACCATACTCCTATCTCAGTGCCAAAATTTACCCATTAGGATTTAGTTTTTTTCTCAGTTATTTCTCATTTCTACCAATTAACTATGGCCAATAAAGGCAATAATATAGTCACATCTTCCAAAGAAAAAATGGCAGAAAGGAAGCAACAGAAGCCTGAAAAAAAAAAAAAGGTTACCACTAGAAGCTGATTCACCTAATTATGATAGAGCTGGTCCTTCTTTAGATACAATGGAGTTCTAGAAACTATATCCCCAACTCTGAATTCTTTCTTGCCTTTAGCTATTTGGAAAATGAATAAGCAATTAAAAGCAGCATGAAGCCGAAACCGGTTTGGCTCAGCGGTAGAGCGTCGGTCTGCGGACTGAAAGGTCCCAGGTTCGATTCCAGTCAAGGGCATGTACCTGGGTTGTGGGCACATCCCTGGTAGAGGGTGTGCAGGAGGCAGCTGGTCGATGTTTCTCTCTCATCAATGTTTCTAGCTCTCTCTCTCTCCCTTCCTCTCTGTAAAGAATCAATAAAATATATATATTAAAAAAAAAAGCAGCATGAAGCTATAGATCTGCACTGACTAATAGAGTAGCCACTAGCCACAGGTGGCTACTGGGAACCTGAAGGGCAGCAAAGCTGAACTGATCTGTGCCATAATGTAGACACCCTGGATTTAGAAGACTTAGTATCTATACATATGAAAGCCTAAGCAACTGTTGCAACTGAACGGCCAAACACCAGTCACTATGACACATGCTGGCCTCCAGGGGGCAGATGCTCAATGCAGGAGCTGCCCCCTGGTGGTCAGTGCTCTCCCACAGCCAACATCCCAAGGGCCCTCCCCTTGGCTTGCCCTCCTCCAGATAAACCCTGATCAAGGGGGGAGGACACCCAGTCGGCCAACCTCCTGCAGCCCCTTCCCGCAGCCAGCTGGCCCCAGGATACGCCTAGATCACCAAGGGACACCACCCATGCACAAATTCATGCACCGAGCCTCTAGTTTAAAAATTAATGCAAAGTATTTCATTAATAACTTTTTTACTGATTACATGTTGAAATAATATTCTGGAAATTATTTATTTGGCCTAAGCAAAATATATTATTAAAATTAATTTTACTGTTTCTTTCTACTTTTTAAATGTAGCTACTGTAAAAATTTTAAAGTATATATGTGGCTCACATTATATTTCTCCTTGATGTTGCTGCTATATAACTATCATGAATGTTGAACAAAAAAAACAAAGAAGCAAAAAGTAGGAATTTTTCAAAGTTTTTTCTACTGTTTGCTCTACTACCAACACTATTACTCATTTTCCAACCCCTGTCCTTGATTATAAAACAGAGGTAAAACAAAAAAATCAATAGCTATATTAAGTCATGGATACAATAATAAATCATAGGCCAAAGGAGTTTAGCCCTGGTTCTGGTACTGACTAGCAGTTACCCTGGAGAAATCATTTTTTCTCTCTGAGCCTCAGTTGCTTGCCTAACAAAGCTAAACTAAATTTAGACTGCCATGATTCTGTCAAAACATTTTTTTTCTTTCTGTCAAAATTGGTTTTCATAAAAATGAATAAATACTCACTCTGAGTCTAACACATCCTCGGCGAGAGCCTCTCATCATTTTGTCCTTGGACTAAAAGAAAAACAAAAACATTCAATGAATAAAAGTTTAACTCATTGTAACTCTTAATCATCTAGGGATTAAGAGACAAAATTTATAGTAACATCCCTGTTTTCCCCTTCTCTCTTCCCCCCAAATCACTTAGAGATAGAAATTAGCAGGTTTAAAATGAAATTGTTTTACAATCTATGCAAATAAACTTAATTATAGAATTTTATGGATACCTTTAATGTAGCATATCTTCTATATATATATCAAAAGCTAGGACACTGTAACGACTGAAACAACCAGTTGTATGATGCCCACTGTGGCCAGCGAACTAGCTGGCCCCACTCCCAATTGGCCTCTCCCACCCCAATCAAGGGTGGGGCAGATGGCCAACCCACCCACGGCCCCTCCCCCCAAGTGGCCCCACCCCAATAGGGGGCGGGGAAGGCTGGCAACCTCCTTCAGCTCCTATCCCCACTCCCCCACATCAATTATAAGCGGGGCCAGCCAGCCAACTGCCTGTGGCCCCTCCCCTTGGCCAGCCCCATGCCTGATTGGTCCCAAATCCCATCAGCTCACAGCTCCTCCCACCAGCTGGCAGTCCCTCCCACACCAATGGGGGGCAGGGCTGGCCAGCCAACCACCCATAGTCCCTCCTCCTGGCCGCTAGCCCCTGATCACCCCCTCCATGTTCGGGGCAGGGCCACAACCCCTCCCCATGGTCGGTCCCACTCCCGATCATTCCCCACCACCCTGATAGGCCTACACCTCCCCCAACCACCTCCACCCCTGGTAGGCACCCCCTACTCTAATCAGAGTCAAGGCTGGTTGCTACTGCCCACAGCCCTTCCCCACTGCTGGCCCTGCCCCCAACTGCCCTCCTCACCCCAATTGGGGATGGGGCCCACTGGCCAATTGCCCAAAACCTCTCCCGCTCAGCCAGCTGGGCCCTGATTCAGCCCCGATAGAGGTGAGCTGCCAGCCAATCTCCTGCCATCTCCTCCTCCCAACAGGCCTAGCCCTAATCCACTTAGATCGGGCCAGACCAGCCAGACCACCACCTGTGCATAAGTTCGTGCACTGGGCGTCTAGTATTACACTATAATTTTCATTCTTCCATTATGCCTCTTAACTCTAACCAGTGTTTTCCATATTTTAGTGAATTTGAGAATCACCTGCAAAACTATGAATCACCTGAGAGCATAAGAATCACTCCCAGATGATTCTGACTCAGGCAGGTTAAGGACCACGTTTTGAGAAATATTACTTTAGCTTTATCTGCAATTTCATAAATGGATCATTTTTTGCCACTGAGATTTTCTTCATCCGAAATTTCCTCAGCTTGGAATATCTTTGGCCCTGATTTTCTGCCTTCCTGTCACTGATCATGTAATGTGCCTTAGCTCTCTCTGGTTTGAATTCCCATCCTTGAGCTCCCAAAGTCTTCTACATTCCCGTTGTGGCCTGTACCACCCTGTGCAATAATGACTAGTTAACTTGTCTGACTCACCCATTAAGACTGCACATTCCTTAAAGATAGGAAATGTATCTGGCTTATGCTTCAGAACAATGTCTGCAACACATTAGGTTCTCAAAAAATATTTACTGATAAAGTTGCTTATCCTTTGTCTTTTAAGACTGAGCCAAGCAAAGACTATGTTCTGCACAATAAGTCCTACAGTAACAAGCAGAAAATAGTCCTAAAAATCAACTAGCAGTGTGTAACAAAATAAAATGAAACCTTAAATAATCAAAGTTTTAAAATATTTAATACCCCAACAACCAGTATTTTTCTGTACTCACCTATGTAATGTTTCAAAGAAATGTCTCCCATAAACCATAGATGCCTACATCCAAAGTACTGAATCAAAGGCAAACTTCAAGCTATAAGTTAATTAAGTTCTATGGGTTTAATGTGTCATTTTGACTATAGTTAACAATACTATACTTGGAATGTTGCTAAAAGAGTAGATCTTGAAAGTTCTTAACACACACACACACACACACACACACACACACACACACACACACACGATAACTATGTGAGGTGATGGATGTGTTAACTAACCTTGCTGTGGTAATCATTTTATAATATACAAGTATGTATATCAAATCATTACATTGATACCTTAAATTTATACAATGTTACATGTCACTTTTCCTATCTAATAAAGAGGGAATACGCTAATTGACTATCACGCCCTCAAAGATGGTGTCCACAGCCACAAGATGGCAGCCCCCAGTCCCCACAGCCCCACTGGGGCAGCAGGCACACGACAAGGCCAGGCCCTTCCCAAGGAGGGACCAGTCACTCTCTGCACCTGTCTCCAGAGTCCCCCAGTCCCTTCAGCCCCTCAGCTGTCCAAGGCCACCCCGAGGGATCGCCAAATGACTAAATAGCAGGCTGCATGGGGCGACCAGGCTGGCAGGGGGGTAGTGAAGGATGACCAAAAGCATGAACAAGCAGGCTGTGTGGGGCAACCAGGCCAGCAGAGGGGTTAGTGAGGGAGGACCAAACGACTGAACGGCAGGCTGCGTGAGACAACCAGGCCGGTGGGGGGGGGGGGGGGGGCCGTGAGGGGCAACCAGGCTGACAGGGTGGGTGCATTTGGGGGTGACCAGGCCAGCAGGGGGGGTCAGTTGGGGGCGATTAGGCTGTCAGGGGGAGCAGTTAAGGGTGACCAGGCAGGCAGACAGGCAGGTGAGCGAATAGGAGCCAGAGGTCGAAGATTGTGAGAGGGATGTCTGACTGCCAGTCTAGACTGGCAGTGGGACATCTCCTGAGGGGTCCCAGATTGGAGAGGGTGCAGGCTAGGCTGAGGGGACCTCCCTCCCCCACCATGCACATATTTTGTGCACCAGGCCTTTAGTATCTCAATTAATCTGGAAAAAATAATACAATATTTCTTGGGGGATATTTGCAGGTCTGTGCATAAAGGTCTGTCTTATCCTTCTCATTGACTATAGTATAATCTATGAACATAGACCCGTGATTTTTTTAATAATTATTTATTGTTGAAAGTATTACATATCCTCCTTCTTCCCCCCCCCCCCCCCCATTGACCCTCTCCGGCCCATTCTCACCCCACCCCAAGCCTTCAGCACCCTATTATCTGTGTCCATGGGTTATGCATATATGCATTCAAGGCATAAATCAGTAATTTTCAACTGGTGTGCTGACCTCTTTTCCCTTGACTGTCAAATAAAAAATGGCAATTGCCAACACAATAGCCATCCAGTGTGAGTGAATGAGAGGCATATCTATTTTTTGTCAGATCAGCAAAAAATATAATTTTTGGTGTGCCGCAAAATTTTAGTTATTAGCTTGTGTGTGTCATGAGATGAAAAGAGTTTAAAAATTGCCAAATTAAATCAATAGAATAGAATTAGAAGTCTAGAAATAAACTCATAGAGTTTTTGGTCAATTGATTTTAATACGGATACCAAGATCCTTAAAATAGTCTTTCCAACAAAGCGTACTGATACAACTGATTAAACCCATATTAAAAGAATGAAGTTGGGCCCCTACCCTATCCTATATAATAAAAGGGTAATATGCAAATAGACCAACAGCAGAACCACCAAACAACCAATCAAAGCATAATATGCTAATGCTGCTTAACCACACCCTATGATAGGCCCTGACCACCAGGGGGCAGACAGTCAACAGTTCGACCAGCCTCTATGACATGCCCTGACCACCAGGAGGCAGACAGTCAATTGGTGGACCAGTCACTATGACATGTTCTGAACACCAGGGGGCAGATGCTCCAACCAGTTGATTAGTTTGCTGCTGGGGTCTAGCCAATTGGGACTGGGCGAGATGGGCTGGATATGCCCTGTAGCCCTTCTGCAGACCCTTCCCGGCCCTAATCAGCCAATCAGGGCTGAGTGAGATGGGCCAGACATGCCCTGGAGCTCTCCCATGGTTCCTCCTCAGCCTGATCGTGCACTTGTGGGGTCCCTCAGCCTATCCTGCACCCTCTAGCAATCTGGGACCCCCCAGAGGATGTCAGAGAGCAGGTTTGAGCTCAATCCCTCAAGCCACTCCCTTTGGGAGGGTGCCAGATGCAGATCAGGACTGATTGGGCGCAAGCCTGCAGCAGGCACAGTGGGGCCAGGATGAGTGGGAGTGGCACATAGGGACTGCAAGTGTCACTGGGCTGTAGGTTTCTGCCCAATCCCTGTAGGCTACCCAGAGGGACCCCATCCATGCACAAATTCCAGGAATTTGTGCATGGATGGGGTCCCTCTGGGTAGCCTGTAAATTCATTAAACTACTAATAAGGTATCATATAAATTCATTAAACTACTAATAAGCTAAAACTATTAAACACTTAGAAAAAAACACAGTTTTAAATCTCTGTGATCTTGAATTAGGCAATTGTTTCTTAATCATGATGCCAAAAGCACAAGCAAACAACAGAAAAAAATATAGTTGACCCTTGAACAGCAGAGGTTTGAAATGTGAGTCCACTTATACATCCAAACCTATTATTCAAAGGTCAACTGTAAAGAGGTTAAAGGAAAAAAAACAAAAAAACAAAAAAAACAAAGGTCAACTGTATTTCCATCCTCAGGAATCTCATATGTAGAAAGCCAATTTAAATCATATGGGGATTTTGACCCAGGGAGCTTGGCACCCTTAATCCCTCATGTTGTTCAAGGGCCAACTGTAAATAAAATAAACATTATCATGCTTAAAAACATTTATGCTTTAAAGGATACTATCAAGAAAGTGAAAGATAAACTGTGGAAAGGAAGAAATTAGTTTCAGTCATGTATCTGGTAAGGGACCATTATCCAGAATATATAAAAATTTCTTACAACTCAGAAATAAAGACAAATAATCCAATTTAAAAATGGGCCAGGATTTGAATAGATACTTCTCCTAAGCAAACCAAATTGACAATATCAACTGATAATTGTGTTAAAAAAAAAAAAAATTAAGTAGGGTGGTGATCAGAAAGTTGTGGGGGAGCGGGGTTCCACCTTAACTTAGATGACTTTAAAGGACTATGAGG